AAGGAGGGTGTAATAATATTGGTTTGTTTAATATACAAAGATTGCCCGTCAGGAATATGCCTATAATAGTTTTTTTATAACAAAAAAATAGTTTTTTTATAATAGTTTCATTTTTGCAAGTAAGTATATTTTCAACACTTAAATTGCAATTTTATCTTACCTACGGAATTGTTAAATACCCTTTTCAGTTCTTAGAATTGAAAATACTCAATTTACATCATTGTTTTTTTACTCTGCAACGCTAGTAACGGAACAACGAGGTTCAAGGATTGAGAGAAAAAAAAACTGTAATGTTTCAATTATCTTAAATAAATAAATTCAGAGTTTACAAAAACAAGTAATTTAGTGAATAATGAAGTGTTTTTGAATGGTATTAGTTACGAACAATATTACAATATTAGTTTAGTTGCAGACTACATAGCCAGTGTACACATACCTAGCTCAGTATCAAATTTAGTTTATATAGTTTAACTAGCTTCTCTAGTTTGTTTGAAATAGAAAAAATTCCAATCACATGTATTATTTACTGTGTATGTTAAATAGAGAAGTCTGTACATTGCATATTTTTGGTCGAGTTTTCAACCACTGGACCTCAACTTCATTGTACACTTCATTGTTCATTGTTCACTGGGAAATCCATTGTAAACTATAAGAAATGCACTCTAATCAATACAAATACTTTAAGGTTATGTGAAACAATATTTAAAGGAATCAGCAAAAATATTAATACATAATTGCTAGGCAGCGGTCTATTGCAATTCATTAAGGATATACTGCTTGTATATTTAATAATATATATAAATGTAATAAGCGATGTTCGGTACTAGGGCTGGAAAATTTTAATTACAACTATAGCTGCCATTTCGACCCTGGACAGCAATGCGTAGCTTTCAGCCTCAAATTAACGTATGTAAAACTACTAAAACATCGTAGTGCGGTGACAAATATTTGCCAATCATACTCAATTGACTCGGAACACAGCAGTTTCTGATTTAATTAAGGGTATTATTAAAATGTACTCGTGCAGTTATCAATTAAACAGGGTAACGAATTGAAGGATAGATACAACTAGTCCGTAAGGACGCAAAATACAACTAGTCGTAGGTACAACTAGACGTAGGTACAACTAGACGTAGGGACCACTAGTCGTAGGGACCACTAGTCGTAGGGACAACTGGTCGCATCCGTACAAGCTAGGTGATACTACTTGTCGGTGGGATACACGTCTAGTTGTACCTACGTCTACTTGTACCTGCGTCTAGTTGTACCTCCTAAAAATCTGCAGGTACAACTAGTCAGGTGTGCCACCGTCTACTTGTACCTACGTCTAGTTGTTGGGACGACTAGTTGTCCCTAGGCCTCGAGGTACAAGTAGACGTAGGTACAACTAGACGGAGGGACAACGAGACGCGGTCCCGAGGTTACAGACGAAAACACAACCTCTCTTAGAAGTTATGAGTAGTGATTAATTTTTAAAAAAACGGCCGTAGGTAAAGTTTTGTAGAAGTTTTTAAGGCACTCGCCAAGGCTCGTACCTTAAATTTTCTGCTCGTGTCGTTAACACTATCTTTACGCGATCGTTGCATAAGACATTAGTATTATGTATTTGTAGTACTATATTGAAAATCAAATAATGCATTTGTACTTTTATCTTACTAATATTATAAATGTGAAAGTTTGTGTGTTTGTTTGTTTGTTTGTTTGAAGTTCAATCACGCTTTAACTACTGGACGAATTGGGCTGAAATTTGGGATGATGATAGCTCACATTTCCGATTAACATATAAGCATATTCTTATCTCAAAAATCGTTTCGGGCTCCGCCCCAGTGGCTCCGGTGTTTCCCATGTTAACATGAGTACTCATATTTAAATGTAATTAAAGAGTTTAGTCAGCTGTTGCAACTAAAAAGGTTGGTTCTATGGTATGCAAAAGCATTAAAAGTTATAAGATTCACCAACAGGGTGCAGCATTATTATTTTTTTAATTTATGAAAACAGCTAATTTGAATTAAGCAGCAACAAAAACTGTGATACGCAATGAGAACCGCCTGGTTACAGTTTTGTTCATGTTTTTAATTTCACAAATAATTTGTGATGTTTTATGAATCTTTAACAATTTATTTTTTTCTATTGTTTAGGTGCAGTGGTATAAAGTTATGGCTATGGTAAAAGTGTAATACTATAGCATACTCTAAATTTAAAGAAGCAAATTTTATCATACTGTGTCCTCCCCCATTGCAAACGCAAAGGTTGAGTAACTGTACTAAGCATTTTATACTTATATGCCAATCCCTACGAAGGACGGGTACTCTGCTAGTTTTTCACTATGTGGTATTTCTGTGCACTAGCCAAGAAAACAAATGTACTAATTTTGTTCCGTTTATTATCTTCGCAACGAATATATTAATTACATTAGTAGAATGCAGATTGTGCAAGAACAGAAAAGAGGTGAAAAGATTACGGATACGAGAGTCGGCGATGGATATTGTACTAAAAATTGCTCGGTGTTTAAGTTTCAAGTTTGATCACATATATAATCGCTTAGAAAGTGACGTAATTTTCGAATGTATTTCATTCTTCACATGATCGTGGCCAATGACGTGTAGAAACGTGTATAGAATAACCCCATTGTGGAACAATATTTTTAATTGTGAGGCGTATGTGGCAACGTTTAGCCAGGCCAAAGAATATTAAAAAGTAAGAGACATGGATTTTTTACAGTAGCACAGTAGGTGAGAGCTTCAACTATTTTCTAATTTGAAAAGGAGCCAGCCATATGCATGGGATGTCTACTACGTTATTAAAAGGTTAAAGGTAAATTAGTTACAGATTTATTTAAAACAATACAACTACAATGCAATATGAAGTACAGGACGATGAACCATCCCAAGCCATATTTCGTTTTCAAACTGTCAAGTCCTCATTTATCAAAACCAGTGACACTGACCGATAACCTTACTCCAGTATATCGAGTAGGACTTAATTATATTTAATCTAAACTAATGTTTGATGCAGTAACTCACATTAAACCTCTTATAAAACATAATATTTGTTTTTTTATCATAAATAACAACTAACTGTTTAATTGTGTTAAACTAAATGGGTGTTAACACTCCGTATGTGTACAAACGACATGTGTACGGTATATAAGTATATAGAAAGTATGTGTAGCTAAGTTTTGAGTGCATGAGAGTACTTTTTTACTGAGTAAGATCGACTGTTTATTTTTCGAGGACTATTTTTTAAGACCATTGAATAAGGAGATCCTAACAATATTCAAAAAGGTTTAGTTATTATAAGTACTGTAAATGTGCCCAATCTATCTCATCGACAGCTGTTGACTTTTATTTTTTTCAGCACATAATTACTTTCTCCCCCTATAGTATATGGAGAAAGTATTGTATTCGTAGAAATTTTCGAGTTTGAGTTTTGAATAGATATATCTGTTTTAGGTCCTCCTCGTGGATTTATAAAAACAACACGTCCCCCTGAGCCCAAAAAAGGGGGTTCGAAGTGATAGATATGCGTGTGTCTGTATGTGTGAATGTGTACAGAACTACAGACCACACCTGTTGTCCGATTGTGAAATTTAGAGCGTAGTCACAAATCCATGGTATCCAGGCACTTTTTTTATTTAGATTTTTAATTGTGATTTTCTCATAATAAATTTACCCCATAAAATAACGGAAAATCTGGGTAAAAAAAATACAGAACACGATTTTGATTAAAATTTTGTATTTTATAGTCCTTTAAATGCTTATCAAAATTATACAAATACCATTTCCGTAAAAATTACGGTTCAAAATTTATTTTAAATTATGTTATATTCCCATAAAAAATCTGAATTTAGGAAAAAAGCCAATTTGATTAAAATTAATGATTTATGGTCCTTATAATTCTAAAAAAATATTGCAACCCCCCATTGCTGAAGCAGTTGCGGTTCAAAATTTATTGCAATTTACGACATGTTCCCTATATAATATCACAATTACTCCCACCCATAAAGGTTGTTCACTAGCTAATGGGAGAAAGTATGTGTCAGATTGCTGATACAGTTTATTTTATGTGTGATGAGTTTCCTGAGCATTCAAATTAAAACTAATCTTTGCGTGCTTGTGTATGCATTAATTGTTTTTAATTATGAATTACGTATTAAGTGCACTATTAGTACCTTGAGGTACTCTTGTAAATGTGACGAAGACCAATGTTATGATGACCAAAGCAGTTTATCACGATATTTCTAGATAATGTATTTTAATATTATGAATTTAATTCATATAACCAACATATGTAAAAAAACATGGATTTGATCTTCATTACACTGATGAAATTGTACAAGTGTTTACCACAAAAGACCCACCAATACGATTTTAATACTGTTTAATGGTTACAAACGAAGAGAAACCATTTAACATAATAATAAATCTAATAACTTACGGCATGGGAAATAATTTTTTCATTGAATGATCAACCATATTTTGTAACTGACGCCATTTAGTCATTATTGTTTCTACACTCAAACAATTACTCATTAAACAATGCTAAATGCTCAAAATTTGTAACATTTCACTCAATTTATTGCAGTTAGATGAATTAGCGTGAGCTTGTAAGTAACCGTCGATTTCGACGGGTTGCACCTAGTTTTTAATAACTAAATTTGTATAGCATAAAAATATTCACTATTTATTTTAGACTTAACAGATCAACTGACCAAAGCAGTTTATCACGATACTGCCAGAAAATGTATTTTAATATTTAAAACTAAAACAACCGACACATGTCCTATTTTAATGAAATACTGGGCTAGTATTATTTTTTACAGGACAATATTCAGCAAAGATTTACAAGACTAATAAATATCTTTTCGTCAACTAACAAACATGAATCCAAAGTACTTATAATTTATGTGTGTCCTCAAATGTAATACTGTAATTTTAAATGTAAAACTATTTAAATATAATTTAAATTTATATGTATGTTAATTTAAAAAAATCAAATACCTTAATGACTTTTTGGTTAATTTGTGCCCTTGAGCGCAAAACACGTTCTTTACCGAACTGCACTAAAACGAACCTCACTGAACTAAGGTAAGGGAATCACTGAAAATGAAACTTGCCAAGTCTGGCACTTGACAGTGGCGCTTCGTCGGCGAGTGTCGGAACTAACAACACTAACATTGGAATTGTTGACACCAACTTTGGATTGCAGACGAATTAATTGAACACATGGTCCGAAGGTCAATTTGTTTAATTGTTGTAAACAGGATACCACGTCATATCTAATTGGAGAGTTAAGTTTACGTATTGCAAGAGAGGTCCCAAGGGTGCATTTGTGGAGTTTGAAATGCACCAGTAAAATACGCTGGGCGATCTAGTAAGAAGTGCTTTAGAAAAAGTTGCTTAGTAAAGCAATGGAAAACATAAAAATCTCATTAACCATTAAATTATTTCCACAACTTGACTCAATATACAACAATTTGTAAAGATACATAATAGAAATATTTGTCATTAACGGGGTATATTGCTTGGGCCCCCATGCGTTTGTACCAGTAATGCATTTAAATTGAACTAAACTTGAATGATTGTTCTATTCTAGAATATTCTGGATTGTAGAACATGATAGCATTTCAATCTTATGCACATACAGTGCAGGCTATTCCAGGATGGGTCAATGAGATTAGTTAATGATCTCCATTCGATTGAATCATGAATAATATAATAAATTTTGTCCGTCTTCAGTCTATTGAAAAACTTACTAATTGTATTTAATTGTACAACACAATACAATATTTACTCACTTTCGGACTGACAAAAGTTATGTACAATTATATTGTTTCTGTAATCAGTCTTGGTGTCGAGAACGTTTAAAAAAAACTATTAAATCAGTCTGCACTCTTAAACATTGATTCTTTTTGTTAATTCTATAAGTTGTTTTATCTGTTAAGAAATTCGGATTCTATTATGTACATTCAGATTCTTAGATTTGTCTTAACCAAGATTTTAGTTCTACATTAGTATTGTTACTTTCAATAACACTGTTAAAATTGCGTCCCCTCTTCTATATGAGTTGAAGCAATGACTTTGGACACTACAAAAAGGCTTTTCATTCTTTTATAAAATCATGATTCATAAAGCATGATTTTTCAGCTACAAATTAACAGTAATTAACGTTTATTTATTTGACTGTGTATTATACATTTTGAAAATCATAACTTAATCAAACAAAATTCTCATGTTCATAATACAAGGAATAAAAACGTTGCTACATAGATTTTTTCAGACTGTCTAAAACTCTTAAAAGCCATATTGTATCTCATTGAAAATATACAACAAGCTAATACATTTAATACGAAAATAACCTGAAAATACTTTAAAAACTAAATTCTACAAATGGCTTCTGAACAACTCCTTCTATTCTCTAAATGTTTTTTTTTTTTAATGCCTGGTATTAATTTTTTAATAGAGTTAGCAAATTGACCAAAGTAGCCTACTATTGGATTTTGTTGGTTATGGGGTTAAATCACTTCCATTATTCTAAATGCCACGAATTTTTATAAGGAATAAGATTATACAATCATAATATTTAAAATATGTATTGTAACATGTCTCATTTTGTCTAGTTAGCTATTTTGTATTTATTAACTGACTTTACTAAAATTTTAGCTGTTTTATGACATTGTCAATAATTTGCCAAAATTCAAAGGGCAATAAACACATTTAATTTCATTTTATGTGTTTGATGTGCAATGTTTAGAGTGCGTAATGTTTATTAATAATTATTTATCCTTTTCAAAGCTAAAATGTACATATTTTCCACACCTTTTTAAAATAAATGACCAGTCACAGCAAAAATTTCACTTTATAAGTTATCTATAATATTTCACCATCTGTGGATGAAAACGAACCTATTAACATATTAAATAGAATATTGTTGATATTGGAAAGCTATTTAATTCTAAAGTTGTTTCTTTAATTGATTGACGATTGTCCAAGCTATCGTTTGGATAAATAAATATATAATACATAAAATATTCAGCGACAGTTTGTCATGATTAATAAAAAAGGGTGTTTCCATAAGAAACAGTTTTTATATAATCTCAAATTATTGCATATTGTATAATAACAAACTTCGCTATACCATTGACTTTGGACAATTAAAAAAAGACGTATTACCTAGTTTTGAAACTGATTCATTTTATACGTTTATGTTTTGTAATTTTAGTGGGAGTTTACTTTAACTTATTAACTTAGTTCTCGTAATTGAGGGTAAAAATCACAAGCCTACTTAACTCGTTGCTTATACTATGCTTATACTACCAGACTATGAACACTGAGCACTGAGCAGTAACATCAAATTTTTTGTAACCACGACTTTTTCTAAAGTAGCCTAAAGTAGTTCAGTTCTTAGAATTGATAAGTTTCTCATAACAGCATAGTTTTACCATAGACAAAAAGAATTATTTCAATTCTTTTTGTCTATGGTTTTACTCATAACAACACGGGTAACGGACCAATGAGGTTTAAGGATTGAGAAAGAAGAAATAAAATTGTAATGATTTGAACTTAAACTAATCAGCTGTTCAGGCCAATTTAATTGTTGAGTGGGGCAATAAGTGTTTGGTACAATGTTTCGTTGCATCACTTTCAGTGGCAAGGAGAGGTTATAAACGAAAACATAACGTCTCTTAAAAGCTATGAGTAGTGATTTTTAGTAATTAAAACACTATCGTAGGTAAAGTACTGTAAATAGTGTTAACGACACGCGTAGAAATTTTAAAATACGAGCCTTCCTTCAAACAACTATTGGTCAATATAATTTAAAAAAAATTTTATTCAGAAGAAATACACTTTAAAAAAGCCACCTTGTCCTATACACAAGTCTGATGGAAACTTGCGAATAAAAACGTAGGATTGATTTCCAAATTAAAAATAAAAATCTAATCTTAGTTTCAAGTAGCTTGAAAACACATTTTTTTCAAAACGTCAAGCGTACTGGTAAAAAGTTCAAGTATGACTACCTAGCAACATTTACAGTTTTTCCTTTCATAATATTCCGTTGTTAAGGAATCGAAACTGTAACAAAATTAACTCAGATTATGGATTTTGTTACAGAATTGTTTATCATGAAAATACCAACCTTGTGATTCTAGAACGACAGATAACCTACTACCGTGAATACAAGGCAAACTAGCAATGTGTGGAATGCCGTATCACGTCACAATTAGTGGAAAAATAAATAATAAACAGGCCTACATATGAATACAATTTGAATTTAACATATAATACATATTACAAACACACGTGATAAGTGTAATGCGTTTAACAAACTTACAAATATAATACAATAAGTTTTTTTGGTAAATGCTATGCATTTTATTATGATAATGATTTGTTGATAGGTAATCAAATTACAGTGCAAAATAAACCAGTGACGTTGTAATTCCGCAGCGGAAAATTTCGCACCACACGGCGGAGATTCCGCATTCCAAAGAACCATAGCTGCATTTTCGTTTTCCAAAAATATAGGAGTTTTTCGTGGATTTTGCCGTCGTCACTGTACGCAATATTCCCTTAGTTGAGATATCACGGACGAAATGAAATTCAGGAATGAGAAAATATAGCATCTAATTCGACAACAAGATGAGCTTATGTGTTCTTTACTAATCCAAACAACAAACTCACTTTGTCTACATAAACAATTAAAACACACTGAAAATAACTCATCAAAACAAAACAGTCTTTAAGCAATAAGTCAAAACCAGTCTCTAAACAAAAGCTTTTTTAAATATATATTGAAGTTTTAAATAATGACTTACTAATCATAAAACTACTTATCTCTCGCAAACAAACATTATTTAATAAATACGAGAGGTCGTCCAGTGGTCGAAACTCGACCAAAAATATGTAATGTACTCACTTATCTATTTTCACCCCACACTGTAAATAAAACATGTGATTGGAGTTTCCTCCATTTGTTTTGATTTTCTGTTTATATTTCGTTGTTATTTCGTAACCAGCATAGCAACGCATAAGATCCATGTTAATTTTTTCAAATTTTTAAACTCATTTTTTGTGCTTATCTTTGAGCCTATTTAAATTTATAAAGGGATTCTGCACACCTACAGGAAAATAGCTTTCCAACGGTATGCGTAGATTTTCCCTACGATGCACACGAGCTGAGAAAAAAGGTTTTAAAGAAACATGCTTGCCTATTAATATATAGATAGATATTTCTCAATTTATCGAATTTCTACCATGGGGAAGAGGCTAGTATCATAGGTGGCACGGTAAGACCATAGATTAAAAAGGGTGAGTATGTTTAATCTATGGTAAAGACCTAGAACCTGGACAAAAATAATGTTTGTTTTGATGTCAAACAGATGCCAAAACCCCTATTCGTTAAATTTGTATATAAACAGGAACACAGCATGGCAACTGGAATTAGGGATGTAATGGGGTTTTCATATTTGCCCAGTTTTTATTTCAGCCACTGTATGGGTCTAGAGCTTAAAAATCGAATAATTTTGAATATTTAAGAGTTATGAATAAAGGTTAATTAAATTAGCATGTAATTAAGACATTACAGGACGTTTGTGCATCCCAAATTGTAGTCAAACTCGTATTTTCATAAGTCCTCGGTAGTATAGTGGTCAGTATCCCCGCCTGTCACGCGGGAGACCCGGGTTCGATTCCCGGCCGGGGAGGATTCTTTTTGGTCACAGTAAAATGCCAACATGAATTTTTATAATGGTTGTCACGATTTTTATCGAACATACGCTATTCACAACATATTTTCACAAGGACCAGTTTCCATCAAAAGCTTGATACAAAACTAGGGTTTATAATCATTTAATTAACACATATTGGTATATAAGAGCATAATTTATATTTTATTTTATTAGGTATTTGTCCACATTATCATAATAACATACGGGGTTTATAGTCCAGCGAATAATAATTGTATTTAATACTTATGAACATTTACCACTTGTAAAACACTAAAAAAAAAAACTTTAAGAGTAGGCCTAAAACTACTCATAAAGTAGCCTATTAGCGAATTTCCCATATAGGGAATAAGCTATTACCGTAGTACTCATGGTAAGACCTGGACGCGGGACCGATTTTTTTTTCGTTTTG